CGACCGCATTTCCCCTGCTAGTGAAAGAAGGGTTGGAGGCCCTGGTGGAGGCGCCTGTTGCCAGGCAACCTGCAGACGCAGGTCTGAGTTTGGAGCCTTAGCTGGGAACTGCCCCTTCTCCTTGGCCTGTCTGGAACGGTCTCGAGAGGGTTCTCGGTGGAACCCACCGTGGACCTGGTTTTTACCCAGCTTGTTGGATCAGGTCGGGTTGGCCGTCCCTTGTGTTCCCCCGCAGTCCATGAATCCCAGATAGGAAGAGGGTGGAGCGTTCGTTCTGGTTGCAGGTACCATTACCTTGATTTTTAATCTTAACTTTTGGTGGAAGGCTGTAGGGTAATTACTCTGCCTTGTTTGAAATTAATCATGGCCCAGGTTCAATTAAGATACCCGGGTCCAAGATAGACTGACTTGGTTCCTGCTTGCATGGAGCTTAAAATACTAAAGAGTATTTTCAAATCTCATTCCTCTCTCCTCGATTACGGGCTGGATTCGATCCGTTTATTCTTTGCTTTCCATCATGTTCTGATTTGGTATAAGCAACAGTGTAGCCACTAATCTCACTAACCAAGAGAGAAATGGCGATGACTAGAATTGGAAATAAAATCCTTAAAAATGAGAAAAGTGAATTCAGTTCATTTTGGTAGTGCTAAGGTTAATATGGTAAGACTCATTGCATGCTAGCAGTAACCTCTCATGAGCTGTCCCAGTTTGGGTGAAGACAGAAGAAGCCATTGAGATGGACCTGGAAATTTGAGGGTATAAATTTTGTTGTTTTGATTATTGGCAAGTGGATTTTAGTGATTTAAAGTGACCTATAGTTATTTGAAGTGGCTATAATAGTTACTAAGGTATAAATAGTTGTGTGGCTGATGTGTGGAGAAAAATCACCTAGCTGATTGTTCAACACCCTGGTCTCAACTTGGGCTTGTTAGCTTCTGATCATTGTAGCAAATACCAGCAGCTCTTGTGATGTGATCAAAAGCAAACAACAACCCCCCATCTGCCCACGAAACCAATAATAACTTTAAAAAGTTGCTTCTTTGTAAAAGTTATGTATGGAAAGTAAGCTGTCTGCTAGTGCTATAGGAGTAATTTTAAATCTAATAATTTGTGTTTTCAGAATATGTCTAGTGTTGGTTGATAAGTCTTCCTGACTTTACTCTTCCAGTAGAATTTCAGGCTTAGGGCATGGGGTTTTTAGGGGAGGGGGCTATGGCAGTGGGGTGAAGGGAATCATATAGATATATTAATAAAGAATTGGTATATCTTTCAGGTAAGAGGATTTCACTGGACATGAAATAAAACTATATTTTAATAATAATAATGATAATAGCTACCATGTATTGAATATTAACCATGTTCCACATGATACAGGAAGATGAGAAAGGTGCTAACATTAAACTCATTTTACATATTAAAAATGCTGTCTCAGAATAATTAAGTTCTTACCCAAGCTTAGGTTATGGGAAAGTGTAAAAAATGAGGATTTGAATGTCAGTCTATCTGACTCCAAGCACTATCCCATACTATCTTTCCTTAAAAACAAAACAAACAAAAATATTTTACTAGTAAAATAAATCCAAATCTAACAGAAAAAGAAGGTATGAATGAATCATTAAATAAAAATGTATCCTTGGTAATATAAGGCTGAAGTATAAAATAAAATATTCAGAATCTGAATGACTGAGATATTCATATGATTTTGATTTTTATATACTTGCAAGTTGATTATTTCTGCATTCTTTTGCAAGCGTTTTTACCTATCACCTCAGAATGACTAGTTGGATCATTCACTTCATTTTATTCTTTGTATTAGATAAATAATAAATACTGCTTGCTAAAAAAATTTTATCAGCCTACTCTGACAAAATTAAAACCCATAAAGGTTCAGGAAAAGAGAAAATAAAACATCACTTTGTGGTAAAGAATAGGTACATGCATCAGTTTCCTATTGCTCCTGTAAAATATTACCACAAATGTAGTGGTTTAAGTCAATACAGTTCATTATTTTATTTTTTATTTTTATTTTATTATTTATTTATTTTAAAAAAATATATCTTTATTGATTTCAGGGAGAGGAAAGGAGAGGGAAAGGGAGAGGGAGAGGGAGAGGGAAAGGGAGAGAGATAGAAACATCACTGATGAGAGAGTCATTGATAGGCTGCAGCCCACAACCCGGGCATGTGCCCTGACCGGGAATCGAACCCCGATCGCCTGCCTGGATCCTAGGTCGACGCTCAACCGCTGAGCCACACCCAGCGGGGCCAGTTCATTATTTTACAGTTCTGGAGGTCAGCAGTACAAAATGAATTCTCCAGGACTAATATCAAGATGTCAGCAGGGCTGGTTTCTTCTGGAGGCTCCAAGGGAGAGTCCAGTTCTTGTCTCTTCTAGCTTCTAGAAAATGCTCGTGACCTCTCCCTTCATTTTCAAAGGCAGCTGCAAGCACCTTTGCTTCCCTATGACCTGTGTTTCCATTCTTACATCTTCTCTTTCTTACTCTGATCAGCCTGTTTCCCTTTTCTAAGGACCCCGGTGATTACATTGGATCCACCAGTTAAACCAGAATAATCTCCACATCTCAAACCTTTTTGTCAGGTAAGGTAACATATTCACAGGGTCTGGTGATTAGGATGGGGGCACTTTTGGGGGGCTATTATTTAGACTAATATTTACCCCATTGTTGCCTAACACAATGTAATTGCTCCACAGATAGTTAATTTTGGTAAGTGAAGGAAAAGTGATTGACCACATGATTTCTTTCCATGTTGTATTATGTAATTTGTATGATATTTAAAATTTGAGTAAGAATTATATATATTTTTTATTTTTTCAAAGTATATTGCACAACCAGTACGTCATCTTGAATGGATTTAGAGGTTAAAGGAATTGCCGCTGCTCCTAGGAGTCAAACTCAGTCATTCTCTGGAAGAAAGAAGCCGCTACAAGTATGTGTGCTATATAATTTTCCTCTTGTACTATGAGTCATTCAATAATTTTCTGACTTCTTTCCTCAGATTTTATAACTACTTATACTCACAAATATTTAGGATCAATATTTCCTTGATTTAAAGACTCGAACCACTAAAATTGAAGATAATCACTACTTGAAAATTAGTCACTGCTTGAATTTAGTTTTATTTTAAAATATTAAGCTTATTATTACTATTTTCTTATTGTTAGATTTAAAATTATCTGTGTATGTCTGCAGAGAAAATAAAAATAGTAGAAAGAAGAAAATATCAGTATATATATACATTTTGTGTTAGCTAGGTTAGAAGAGAATCTGGGCTTCTATTATTAGGACTACTCTATTCTTAACTTTAATAATATCACTGTTATGTATATCATTAAGTAAAGTTTTAAGCTACTTTGTTCCTGTATCTGTGACATAGTTGAGTGTATATAAAGATAGTTTAGAAATATATAGAGGTGATGTGTATTTTCTTGGTGTTCTATTCTAAATATTGTATGTCTACTGCTTTTCAGTAACCATGATATATGTTTTGATAGCTTATATAATTTAATTCTTACAATAAATCTTTGAGGTAGGATTTATTTTTACTTGCTTTTAAATGTGGAAGAACTCATGGATGGACCTGGAGAATATTATGCTAAGTCAGAGAAAGACAAGTACCATATAATTTCACTCATATGTGGAATCTAATGAACAAAATGAACTAACAAGCAAAATAGAGACAGACACATAGCGAGCAGGCTGTTGAGGGACGGGGGCTGGGGGAGAGGGGTAGAGGGATTGAACAAAAAAGAAAAAAAGAGAAAGAACTTATAGACACGGACAACAATGTGATTGGCTAGTACCAAATTGGCTAGCACAAAAGAAAGACAACTGCTGTTTAGAAAATATTTATGCCTATGACTTCAGAAGACTGTCTATCAGTCCATTAAAGCATTTTCTGGGGAATAATAACGATGATGATCAAGACTGTGACAACCGCAGCTATATTGTATTTAGATCTTCTTACTGCACTTAGATGATGTCACAATGTGTCCCAAGTACGATTAAGACAATCTTTGATGTGTGATGAAAATATGCTGCTATTTTAGGCTGATATATATACTGACATATAATTTTTAATTTTATTACATTTAATCACATAAAATTAATTACATTTAATTAATTTTAATAGAGTATATATTTATTTTGGGGGTTTTTTGTTGTTTTTTAAATAAATCTTTATTGATTTCAGAGAGAGGAAAGGAGAGGGAGAGATAGAAACATCAATGATGATAGAGTCATTGATCGAGCCCACAACCCGGGCATGTGCCCTGACCTGGAATCGAACCCCGATCGCCTGGATCCTAGGTCGACGCTCAACCGCTGAGCCACGCCCGGCCGGGCTATATTTATTTTTGTTTTATTATATATTAAATATATACTTACATTTAAATAATCTTGTGATTTTATATTTCTACATTTTGACTATTTATTAGGATAGCACTAAAACAATGTCATATTGAAGCTGATACAGAGCCAAATTTATTTTCTCTTACTCTTATGGTCAGAGTGATGAAACTCAGTCTTGTATATAATCTCTAAACCTACTATCAGAATCACAAAAATGACCAGTTAGATAACATTTCCGAATAAACTGTAAGCACCGATGGGTGAACTATTTCCTGTTTTTATTAGCTTTAACTTTCCCTAAGACTCATCCACATCTGTCACTTCCTTGCTTAAATTCTGCCCAGTTTTCCCATAACCTTTCGGACAGGGTCCAAGTTCCTTAACTTGTCTTATAATATAACAACTTGGGCCATTACTTCTCACACTGTGGATCTCAACCCTTTCCAACTGCCTCGGGCTGGCTCAGCACAAGTTGCTCCCCTGGCTGAAGCCGATCCCTCCTTTCTCTTCGTCTGCCTAACTGTCCTATTCATCCTTTAGAGGTTCATTTAAAGGTTACTCTTTTGTTTTTGCAAAAGCTTCGTCGATTCCCTCGACTAGGTTGGATACACATGCTATGTGTAGTTTCTCTGTCATAGCACTTCTTTTTCACAGTATTGGTTTTTTGCGCGAATGTCTTCTGCAGCAGAGGGAGTGCTACGCGGGGAGATAATTTACTGATACAAATGACCCATGTTGCTTATCATTCTCCCTCTGTGTCTCAGACACAGTGGGAGGGGCTCAATAAGTATTTCTCATAGTAAGCTTACTGAGAAAAGTTATAATTAGCCTTATTGCATTGATTCATAGCTTATCTTTTAAAGTATAAATGAGGGGTATGTGCATACTGATTCTTTTTTTTTTTTTTAATTAAAGCAAGGATGGACTTCCAAACCATGGGCAATCCAAAATCCTTGCCTTCCTGTGTAAGTCACATTTTTTCACATTTGAGCTGTTTAATGGGTAAATATTTGTAGTACATTAACAAGAATAAAAATAAGGCAAAATTATATATATATATAGCTATGATTGTGAACCACAGAAAAATTTATATGCATGTGGGTGGCCTAAAATTACTATGCCAAAATGAAAGTAGCTCTTGTATAGGATGGTAGGATTAAGGGTAATACTTCTCTTGTTTTTTTAAAAATTTTATTTAATATTGTCCTTATATATTCCTGAAAAAGTTTAAATATTGCTTTATTTAGAAAATTCAGTAAGTGCATTTATTAAAGAAATATATAAAATTTGGCACTTTATAACTAGAATAGTAAACATGAATTTGATGGAAACTCTATCTGTACTTTTATCTTGAGGAATATAATTTTATTTTGAACTAGAATACATTGACTTATTTTATACTTTATATTTTTCCCTTTTAAAATGTGGAACTATACATTTTTACATCCTTTCACATATTTTAGACTACAGGGCTTCTTGGAAAATAGAAATTAAAAACTTGATAGTTATTAGGCTGAATCACATGAAATTGGCAAGTATCAGAGAAATTTCTTGTGGTTCTATATAATAGGTACCTGTATGCTCATCCAGACAAAAAACAGAACTAGGTGCAAGCACTAGATACAAGATGTTTAGTATGTAACAACAGTCAGTTGTGTGCTGGTAAATGTTTTTAACAACTGGTTTTCTGAAAAACAAAACAAAACAAAAAAAAACACAAAACTTTATATAAGTTTAATATAAATTTTAATTTTTAATTATAAATAATCTTAAATATATTTTAAGTTGGTTATAAATTTTACTGATATAAAGGATATGTAGCAAGGAATTTACAAATACTAATAAAATATATAAACTTTTTGTTGTAAATTCCATATAGCCAGTTGATTGTCACAGAAAGATACCTTTGTGTTTTTTGCTGAATTCTTATATCTGGAGCCAATGTGCGGTTGTAACTGATGAACTAGTGTAGTTCCAACATGAATGTTGGTTGATATTTTTATTTATTGTAGGGTGACATGAGGGATTTCTCTTTTGAATCAAGTGATAGTTTTGAATACTAGAACAATATTTCTGTTTTTTTATTATTCACAGTGTGACAGTTAAGACATGATACACTTTTAAGTTTAATCTGCATCATTTAACATTTTCTCCTCCACTTTTTAAAGTCTCAGAAGTCAACAAAGTAATAAATCAAGTTCTGATTCATAACATTTTGCCAATTTCTGTGTAAACAATCCTACTGTGGTTGATTTCAAGCTATCTATAGAGTAATATCACTGAACACAGACTAGGAAAGAGATGTTCTATTACTATACAGATATAAATAGCCTAGGACACAAATAATAGTGAAAGATAGTAAAATCATTAAGAAGTAATAACTTTTGAATATTTGTTACCTTTGTTTTTAATATAACTTATTTAATTATAAGTCTGTATAATTTTATTTTTAATAATTTTGTGTTAACAACAAGCTCAGAAATTACTGAATATTTAACCAAAGCTAGCATAGCCAGTAGGCATCAGTACATTGTTGGCCTCAGTGTTCCATTTTATGTAAGATGTAGCATATATGATTTGCAACTCTTAAGTCTCATTTTTCAAAGTTATGGGCTACATAGATTATTTCTTTCAGGGTCCCACCACTTGATTTGGGAAGCCTTGTTGACTCTGATGATGAGGTAATTTTTACTTAGTATTTAATATAACAGACATTTGAATACAATAATACATATAGCATATACTAAGTATCATTTAATTTTATCCTTAGGATGATTTTTCACATATTCCACTTAGTACAGCGCATATTCATTCTGACCCACCAAATTTATCTTCTGCTCTTGATTGGGTCATACCGTGTCAAAGAGCATATACTCAGCAGCATCTAAGTGAACTGGTTAGTATTTAGTTCTTACTACCAACATCCTGAATTATTGCATGCATTTTAGCACTGTATTTAATCCCGAAATTTTATTACGTTTAGTCTATGTTTTGTACAGTTTAAGTATTTTATACATTAACATCCCTAACAACAATGTTGGTGAAATAATTTTACTATTTTATATTTTTTCTCACATAGGAATGGTATTATTAAAGTGCCTTATAAAATTGGTAAAGTACAGCTTTATCCTAATGGGTAACCCAGGAATTTAAAATTATGGAGAATATTAGATTAGATCTTGCTAGTTTAACAATGTGAGATTTGTCTCTTGGAAACTGACTTATTTTTTAGGTCACTGGTATATTATGGAATAAATAAGTGTCCTAATTCAAAGGTATCTCCTTGGGACATATTTATACTTCACACAATATTTCATGTTATGAACACAAGTTCTAATCAGTATTCTATGAGTAGGGCTTGACTTTTTGTTAGTCTTTCTCATGTAACCGCCTCTGTTGATGTTCCCATCAGTCTCATTTTGGATAAATTGCACCAGTAGTACCCAAGTCTGTATCATGCTACAGTTTTCACCCTGAAGCTTTGCCTTCTCCTTCTCCTCTGGGTTATTATCTTGGATATTATCAAGTTTTCAAGGGCTGTGCTGGCTTTATACTTCTTTTGAAGTGCCTGTCCCTTTCTGGGCCAATAAGCATACCCTAGTGTCTGCGTAACACTTCATTTAGGTTTCTCTTATCCACCAGCTCTATTATGTCTCACTCCCATGGAAGTGTGGCAGGGGACCAAATAATACCAGAAGACAGAAAATATTAATATTCTAGAAATGGCAACCAGTACTCCTCAGTATTAGTAATCTGTAATTCCTGTGACTATTCTGGAAGAAATGATTGACAATGGAGTTTTTCTAGGGCAGGAAGAAAAGGCATATCTGAAACTCCTAAAAAAAGAGAAAAGTTGTCCATTGTCCTCTCAAATTATTTTAGAACCAGGGCTGACTTCCATTGGGAAATAAGGTNTATCTGAAACTCCTAAAAAAAGAGAAAAGTTGTCCATTGTCCTCTCAAATTATTTTAGAACCAGGGCTGACTTTCATTGGGAAATAAGGTATAGGTTTATTGGTCTTGAAGGCCAGCGCCCATTCTCAGCTGTTCTGACTCTATTGCTCAGTGAGGCTACACAGCTAAATGTTTTAACTATCACCTCCGTTTAAAATGTAGATCTAATCGTCTGTTTTGTAGGCATAAATGCTAAGATAAATGNTATAGGTTTATTGGTCTTGAAGGCCAGCGCCCATTCTCAGCTGTTCTGACCCTATTGCTCAGCGAGGCTACACAGCTAAATGTTTTAACTATCACCTCCGTTCAAAATGTAGATCTAATCGTCTGTTTTGTAGGCATAAATGCTAAGATAAATGATAAATCTGTTAGTGTTAATAAGGCAAATTAATAATTATTTTGATTTTTTCTGGTGGATAGCATACTTCTTCTCTTTGTCTTAGGAACAGGACATTATACCTGAAGATTTGCCAGCACCAACAGGCAAATATGNGATAAATCTGTTAGTGTTAATAAGGCAAATTAATAATTATTTTGATTTTTCCTGGTGGATAGCATACTTCTCTTTGTCTTAGGAACAGGACATTATACCTGAAGATTTACCAGCACCAACAGGCAAATATAAACTAAAATATCAGCAATACAAAACTGAAATGGAAGAGGGATATAAACAGTATAGTCAGAGAAATGCAGAAAAGGCAAAATCAAATATCACACATCAACTGTCTCTAAGAAACAAGATAGATGACAAGGTAATGTATGAAGCTTTATAGAGTTCTAATGAAATTTTTAAAGAGTCCACATATTATATAAACATCTTTTTGTCCGATATGTCTTGCTGTTAGTCATAATAAGTGTGCCCAGGACTAGTTGAAGTATTTTACTTTGATTACCTAATTTATTCTTCACAATAAACTTTTGTTGTTGTTACCATTTTCAGATGGGAAAACTTTGCCATATGATCTAGTCATCTTTTCTCTGTTAGAAATTTTTCGTTTGCCTTGGGATTGGAAATGTGACAATATTATGCAATNTTTTCGTTTGCCTTGGGATTAGAAATGTGACAATATTATGCAATATAGTTATTTTTGATGTAGCTATCTTGAACTCTGTTTTCCAGTCTAAATACTAAAGTTGAAAAGTGGTTTCAGATTTTATAGTGATCCTGTTTTGTTCTAAAACTATTACTACTCCATGATTGTCTTCTGTCTCATTTGGGGAGATGTTTTTTAACATCATGAATTGCTAAAATGTTATGCTCTTATTTAATATTAATTAGGTGTAAATTCAATATGAGCAAAGTAACCATAATGAATTTAATGGCTTTCCAGAAGTATACAGAAAAGGTCAATCTTGAATTTTTTGAAAAGAAAGGCTTGGAAACACAGTTTATGATACAACTGGCCATAAAGAAGAGAATAGTTGTACACAANATGGCTTTCCAGAAGTATACAGAAAAGGTCAATCTTGAATTTTTTGAAAAAAAAGGCTTGGAAACACAGTTTATGATACAACTGGCCATAAAGAAGAGAAGAGGATTTTTTTTAATCCTCACTCAAGGATATTTTTTCCATTGCTTTTCAGAGAGTGTGGAAGGGAGGGAGAAACAGAGAAACATCGATGTGAGAGAGATACATCGATTGGTTGCCTCCCGCACACACCCCAACTGGGACTAGGGCTTGAGCCTGCAGCCAACACACACGCCCTTTGACTGGAATCGAACCTTCCAGTCCACTGAGCTAAACCAGCGAGAGCTACAATAGTTAATTCAGTTAACTTTTAATAAAAGTAATGTATTTTTAGGGAAGTTGGATGGTTTTATTTTCTTAGCATTTTTCTATAGGTAAAAAAGACTAATTTATAAGTATGTGTGCCATATCAGCTAGTTTTTCTAATCCATGTAGGAATTATCTAGAACTAACTAAATCACATGGTGTTTAGCTGAAAGCATAACAGCAAAAGTTATGGGGTTATTAGGTGTCTTTTATCTTAAAACAAAATTCCCAGATCCAAACAATGCGCACAAATATAATAATCTAGTTTCTATAATAATAGGCAGGATAATTTCACAATTCTTTCACATCTGATGAAAAGCTGGATTCTGGACAGATTTTGAAGATTGGGCTGAGAATACTTGCTTAATGGATTGGCTGCAGGCTTGAGAGAAAAGAAAGATGAAGAATGACACTAAGGCTTTTGGTCTAATCAATTAAAGGGGTGGGGAAGACCACAAGGAAGTCTGGTTGAGGAGGTTAAATTTGAGATACTGAGTAGAAATGTCATTGTTTCCCCTTTATAAAGGTTAAAAACAAGCTGAAACAAAATAAAATGCTTTCAAAAATGTTTTCAACCTAAACATAATGTAGAGGTGTATGTTTGAAAGAAAATCTGACAAATATACTACCAGGTAAATAAATAAGGTATGAAATATCCTCATAAATTGATTTCCTAATAGTTAATACTTAAACAAGATTTAGTATTCATTCGCTGAATAAATATTCATTGAGCGCTCACTGTGTGTGGTCCTGTTCTGGCACCAGGGGTACTGTAATAAAAATGACAGGCAAGGTTCCTGCTCTCACGGAACTTATATCAGGAGAGGCAGGCAATAAATCATAAATAAATGTATAATAAAATTTCTTGTAATAATCAAGGGCCATGAAGACAGAGTAGAGTATGAAGATGGAGCTTTCAAAGATCTATAGTAAGAACAAACCCTTGGGGAAACTCTTGAAATCTATTAAGTTTTTGTCAGTTGCTATCCTACTGGAACGCTTTTGTTGTTAAGAGAACATAATCACATCTTATATTCAGAGAAAACTTTAGTATTTATCTCTTTAGGACCCCAAAGGATCTTTACCTCAAAGGATACACCCCATCTAAAAAGTACTAAAAAGTACTTTACCTCCAAATTTAATTTTTATAAAGGAGTGGGCATGCCCACATTTATGAACATTACAAAGACTTAAATAGACAATAATAGTTACAATAGTTACTACCTTTTATTTAATGCTTTCTATATGNCCTCCAAATTTAATTTTTATAAAGGAGTGGGCATGCCCACATTTATGAACGTTACAAAGACTTAAATAGACAATAATAGTTACTATCTTTAATGCTTTCTATATATCAGGTACTTTTTTAAAGCGTTGGACATGTGTCATCTCATTTAATCTTTTTCTCTGTGTGTTTGTGAAAGAGTTACTATTNTCAGGTACTTTTTTAAAGCGTTGGACATGTGTCATCTCATTTAATCTTTTCCTGTGTGTGTTTGTGAAAGAGTTACTATTATTANTCTCATTTAATCTTTTTCTCTGTGTGTTTGTGAAAGAGTTACTATTATTCCTATTTCCATGAGTAAACCAAGGCACAGAGAGGTCATCTAGCCAGAAAGTAGAAGAGCTAGATTCAAACAGGCAATCTGATCCTGAGCCTGTACTGTTTAACCCTACACAAAAAACACTGATACTTTTAGTGGCTCTTTAATCCGTTCTTTTGTTNATACTTTTAGTGGTTCTTTAATCCGTTCTTTTGTTAAAAACAAATTTTCCAAGTATGTGTATGAGAGTTCATCTATTGCTTTCATGTATAGTGTGTCCAATGGGAAGAAGCAGTCACAGCTGACCTTACAACTCTGGATAGGAAAGCCCTCTTACAGCAGCGTTATGCGGACAACCCTCACCATGCACAGCACAGCACAAGAAAATCTAATGCCGTAAGTTACCAGTTTGTTTACTTATTAAGCCAGTAAGATAATTTGCCCCACAAGATTTTAAAGACTGATAAGTAAATAATCTCAGCAAGTGAATTTGGACTGAGGTGAACATTCATTAGTGTGCATACTGAGTCCTCATTTCAATAAATGATTGACCTTTAGTATATTTACTGTGGAGAAATTGTCCTGAGTTTTTGAGGGTTTGTAAACATTTTGTTTATAAAGTTCCAAATGTTAATTGGCCACTATTTATGTCAGTGGGCTTATTTGATATCGACCCTCCCCTGTAGTAGTCTAGTTATTTTTTTTTCAAAGTCAGAAGCTAAGAAAACCAGAGAAATTCAGAGCAGTTAAAGAAAAGGACAGGAATAAAGTAAATGCTCTTTAGCAAAACGGAAGCAAAACTTTAGACTCTCAATATTGATTATATTATATATATATATTTTT